GGGCACATGGGTGGTAGAGGAAGCTGACGTCCTCATTAGACTGGATGAAAGGCAGAGAGACGTCAAGTCAGCCTGGGTCCCTCCAAGAGAATCGCCTGGTTCCCCCATTCAGGCCCACCAGAAAGGGATTCCAGATGGCCAGGTGACCCTCCACCACAGGGCTCTGCAAAGGACGAAGGGCCCTCCCTGGGCAAGGTGTGCTTATGTGCCTTTCAATCTTCTGCATGAGACACTCAAAGCACATAATTTCCATGATCACACACCAAGTTCACCCTAATAGGATCAGGCCGTACTCTATTTGGGTTTGTTTTGTTTTGGGTATTTTTGTTGTTGCTGTGTTGTTTGTTTTTGGCCACACCCAGCAGTGCTCAGGGTACCAGAGGGTGCCAGGATTTTACCTTGGGCTCCGGTATGCAAATTATGCACTCTGGCCCTTTAAGCCAGCTCCCTGGCCTTCCAACCGTACTCTCTAGCTGTATTTCTCTCTAGCTATATTTCTCTATCTACCTAAAAGGCTCTATAGAGGCCAGAGAAATAGTATAGAGTATAAGGTGCTTGCCTTGTATGCAGCCAACCCAGGTTCGATCCCTGGCATCCTATATGGTCCCCTGAGCACTACTGGGAGTGATTCCTGAGTGTAGAGCTAGGAGTAAGCCCTGAGAATTGCCAGGTGTGGCCCCAAAGCAAAAACAAACAAGGCTGTATAGGTCCCCAGTCTGGACTATAAGCATCCCTCAAATGGAGAACAAGACTTCTTTTTACTGATCTTATCTATGTATTCAATCTCTCCAACGCATATGGGATAGCAGACAGTAGTATACAATCCTGGGACGGAAACACTTCATTAATTATTAACTTTCCTTTGATCAGGATGACTAGATGCTCAACATTGTGCCAGATGCTGTCAGAAATACCAAAAGAGAACACTTGGACTCTGCTTGCAGGGAATATAAAGGAAATTCAGGGAAAGAGAACTCATGCAAATGAAAGAAAGAACAAAACATGAAGTGATTCATTAAGCATTGCATGAATTTGAGGAAGGGGACGAATATGGGTTGACACGAAAACAGGCAACGTCTTCAAAGAAAGCAGGGCTTGGACGATGACAAACAGGGCAAGAGGGCAGGGAGCTATATGTTTCAGGGTACGATAGGACATGAGTGTAGGAAACTGAGCAAGAGCAAAGATGCAAAAAGAGAGCAAAGAAGGCAACCCGGCACTTGCATGTATGGTGCCAGGACAGGAGAGGAACTAGAAGTTTGAAGGGGAAGCTTATTGAGTCAGAGAGGGCCTGATAAGGTAGGAAATAGGAGCCATTGAAGATTTCTGGTGCAATGATTTAATGAAAGGGCCGTTTGAGGAAAGGAACCTGGCAGTTGGCATGAGGTCTCTTGGCCTGCAGCTACAAGCATCAGAAAAAGTTATTTATTTTAAAAGGAAATCCAAGAGCCAGGGAAGTTCTCTGAATACTGGCAACAAAAATAGAATGCTGGTTTGAATCCTTGGCACCACATATGGTCCTCAAGCACTACACTACCAGGAGTCATAGATTCCTAAGCACAGAGTCAGGAATAAGCCCTGAGCACTGCTGGGTGTGCCCCCAAACAAAACAAAACAAGAACCAAACCAAAACCAACAAACCAACAAAAAACTGTTTTTTTTTTTTTGAGGTAGCCAAGCATGAACACCATTGTTTGTTGGGACACAATTGGTGACGCTCAGGGGTTACTCCCGAGCAACTGACTCTGGCTCTGTACTCAGGAATTAGTCCTAGCAGTGCTCCAGAACACCATATGGGATACTGGCAATCAAACCCAGCTCAGCTGTATGCAAGGCAAAACCCCCACCCACTGTACTACCCAGCCCCTGAAGAACCAGACTTTGGAGCCTGCTAACCTGAGTTTTGCCCTTTATAACATATAGTTTTGTACTTTTCCAGTTGCTGTCACAGTTTAATCCTTGTCAGGGACACCAGTAACACCGTCTTACAGAAAACTAGAGCCAAAAAAAGAGAGTAGAGAACCCAGAGCCACAAGCAAAGCTGGGGTTCGGGACTTGTTCTATCTTTTCCTGACTCGAGTACAGCCGTCTGCCCATCGGTCAACTATTCAACAGCTTTCCTGTCTGCATTGCAGAAGATAGAAGGGTTGGTCTTGGGACGGGGGGACCCAGGGTAAGAATACTGCCTCTCTCCTGATAAAGAAGGGGCTGGAAAGCAGAAAAGGTGGAGGAAGCCTGAATGGCGCAGCTATTCTGCACCCAAGCTCCAGGTAGTACTTACCCATCCAGAGCTCCTCCGGGAGTAAGTCACTCTTGGTGACACCTACTTATGGGGAAAGAAGGCGGCTTAGCGCAGCAGGGGAACAGAGGAGGCTGGGAGGGGATAACCAGCCCAAGTTGCCAGTCTGCGATGGAGACCGGTGACTCAGGGACAGAGGAGCCGGCACAGGTCATTAGATGGTGAGCGTGCACCAGCCTCTTCCAGCCGCCCCCCATTCACCGCCCTCGCTCTCAGTCCTGCTGGGCCCTACCTTGGGGGGCAGAGGCCACAGGCCCTCGGAACAGCGAGCTCTCACCTCCTCCCCTGGCTCAGCCACCACCTGTGGGTCCAAGAATCCGAAAGGCAGGGGTGCCGGCCTCGGTGAGGCCCAGCCCTCTCCCTTCCCGCGCCCAGGCCCCCAGCCCGAGGGGAGGACTCTGGGTCCCTTAGGCGCGCGCCCCTCCTTCCAGGATAAACTTTCAGCAAAGCACTTGGAGATACCGGGAGCCGCCTTCGCGGGAGCGGGCCGCCTTACCCCACTAGGAGCGAGGAGTCCCGCGGCGGCCGCCAGGAGAAGCAGCCCGGCAGACAGCAGAGGATGCGCCATCCCTGCCCGCCCCGCCAGCCAAGGCTCGCGCCGCCCAGTCCGGCCTGGGCCCCGAGCCCCCCGGCCCAGCAAGCCCACGTAGACCGCGGGCTCGCTTGCCCCGCCCAGGCCCGCCCCGGCGCTCAATCCCACTCGGCCCCGCCCCCGCCCGTCAAACCCGCTCGGCCCCGCCCTCCTCCCTGGCCCCGCCCCGCATCCCGCCAGGCACCTCCTCCACCTCGGCGCTCATCCCACTCGGCCCCGTTCCACCTCGGCGCTCATCCCACTCGGCCCTCCGCCCCGCCACTCGATCCCACTCGGCCCCGCCTCCACCTCGGCGTTTATTCCACTCGGCTCCGCCCCGACGCCCGCCCCCTCCCGCCCCAATGCCCGCCCACAGCCCGGGACTGCGCGCGCACGCGTCCTACCCGCGTAGCCGGAAAAGTTGAGTGTGCAAGCCCAACCCTTGTGCCCCGAGCGGAGCCGGGCAGGGACCACCTCCTTCGCCTGGGCTTTCGTCCCACTGGGTCTCGGCGGCCTGCAGAGCGCTGCGGTGGAGCCCGAGTGGGATCAAGTGGGGCAAAGGGCGGGAACTGGGTTCTCTGTGGACATCGTCTTCCTTGACAAACCCGCTTCAGACTCGTCGGTGAGATCTGCAACTAGGAGAGGGGCAGAACCACGAAATCCCACCTAGATCCCTCCTCGAGAGCGTCACCTTTAGCGCATCCCACTCTGCATTCGCAAATAGGACCAACACACGGAGGCTCCTCAGAGGATTCTCCGGGCACCACTACCCCAGGGGGGCCGGGGGCCTCTTTGCCTCCTACCTTAGCCTTTACTTTCGTCCTTCGCTCAGTTGAGGCCAGGGAGACATTGGTCCCGGGAGGGAGGGGGTGGGGGGCGTAGAGGTGGCCTGGCCTCGCCCCGAGCAAAGAGAGAACGCCGCAGGACTCCCCCTGCTGGGGCCCCCTGGAGCGAGGCGTTCTCCACGTGCTCTTCTTGACCTGACTCGGGGTTTTGAGGAAAGACGGGAATGTGGGTGGAGGGTGGGGATTGACCTGCTCAGCCCAGAACTTCAAAACAGCAAGAACATGTTATTTGGAAATAGAGCGAGAAGGGCTGTCACATACTTGCGACTTCCCGGGTTCCCCCAGTATTTGACAGTTAACTTTGGGCGGTTAATGATACAAGCACGTCGACAGGCATCCAGCACCCTCGCAGCCCTGAGAACTGCCCAGTCCCTGAGCTTATTCTCAGAGGCTTGGGCTTGTTTTGGGGGTGGGTTTGGGGCATGATGTCGAAGATTTCTTCTATCTGAAGCCAGGTTCTTGGGGAAGCCTCCAGGAGGCTAGAGAGGGGCTCACCCAGGCGGAGAGGGGCGGCGATGGACGGGTTAGCGCAATGATGCCGAGGAAGGAAAGAGTGGCTGCCGGTGTAGAGACCGTGCACTCGAGCTGTCGGGCTGAACAGTCGCCCTGTCCCGCTGCCCTGCGCCGGACCCCTGCCCATCTGGGTTTTTGCGTACTTGCGGGTGCGGACGGCGCGAAGCCAAACTCCGAGGTGAGAGCGCGCGGGCAAGCCTGCGCAGGAGGCGCAGCCGGAGGCTCGCGCGCAGCTGCAGCTGCAACCACCCAGCAGGCGCCCCGAGTCCGCGCCCGGGGCTGCGGTTCACTCACTTCTCGCTTCTGCTAACAGACCCACGGCGAACCCTGAGGGCGCGGCCACGCAGGGTCTCCTCCCTCCTCTCCACACCCCCCTGCAGCTGCATTCCTAGCGGGACAGAGGGGCGGGGACAGGGGGAACTCTCAAACTCATCTCTGTCCCCCAAGCTTCGGGCTGCGAGTCTTCCCCGTGGCTGTGCCACCAACGCCGCTCTTGGGCTCGCTGCCCTCCCCACTCCCTTCCGGCTCGCTGGCCGAGGCCTTGGCTCCCTTCACCCTCTGCTCCGGCTTGTCGCAATCGCTGTACAAAGGGCCGGGGTGGTGGTGGGGGTGGAGGGGGAGCAGGGGGCGGGCGAGGGGAGCTGAGCCGAACTGGCTGCCTCTGCGGGGCCGCGGCCAATCGGGAGCTCGCCCCCCCGCTCGGGAGGGCCCTGGGCAGCGGCCACCGCCGGGCGGAGCCTCGGACCGAGCGGGGAGCTCACCGAGGGGACGGCCCGCCGCCTGCAGCCTGCCACCCGCGTCCCGCCAGCCGCTGGGGTCTCTCCAGCTGCGCCATGCCGCCGTGGGGCGCGGCCCTCGCCCTGCTCCTGGTGGCGCTCGGCCTCATTGGCCTGCTCGCCCCTCGGCTGCGGCGCCCAGGAAAACGCGCCGTCGGAGCGACGACCCTGCGAGGATCCAGAGGGACCCGAAGCCCAGACCGCGAGGAGAAGGTGGATGGAAGAGGCCCGGAGGACGAACTCGGCGACGCTGGGGAGTCCCTGCCCGGCGGGTGCCGTCTCATCTGTAAGCCGTCGGCGCTGGCCCAGTGCCTGCTGCGCGCGCTGCGCCGCTGCGCTGCGCTCGAGCCGGGCCCCCGCTCCTGGCTCTCGGGGCCACACCTGCAGACCCTCAGTCATTTCGTGCTGCCCGTGGGACCGGGGCCGGAGCTGGCCCGGGAGTATCTGCAACTGGCGGACGACGGGCTGGTGGCTCTGGACTGGGTCGTGGGACCTTGCAGCAGGGGCCGCCGGGTCACCAACGCTGGGAGCCTGCCGGCGGTGCTGCTAGTGATCCCCAATGCTTGGGGGCGCCTCACTCGTAACGTGCTCGGCCTCTGTTTGCTGGCTCTGGAGCGCGGCTACTACCCGGTCATCTTCCATCGCCGTGGCCACCACGACTGCCCGTTGGTTAACCCCCGCCTGCAGCCTTTCGGGGACCCGTCCGACCTCAAAGAGGCCGTCACTTACATCCGCTTCCGACACCCGGCGGCCCCGCTGTTCGCAGTGAGCGAGGGTTCGGGCTCCGCGCTGCTGCTGTCCTACCTGGGCGAGTGCGGCTCCTCCAGCTACGTGACCGGCGCCGCCTGCATCTCTCCGGTGCTCCGCTGCCGCGAGTGGTTCGAGACCGGCCTGCCCTGGCCCTACGAGCGGGGCTTCCTGCTGCACCAGAAGATCGCCCTCAGCAGGTGGGTGACCCAGCTCGCCGATGGCACAGGGAGGAGAGGTCTGGAGCTGAGCGAGAATTGTATCGCATCAAAATAGTAGAGGGCGACTGGGGACCAAGTTCTCATCAAGCGCCTTTAGCTTGGTTATATTTGTTTTTGCCCTGGCGGTGCTCAGGGTTTGCTCTGGCTCTGCTCTCAGGGATCAATTCTAGTGGGCTCTGGGAACCATGGGAGTATATGGGGTGCCGCGGATTGAACCCTGGTCAGGCGATGTAAGTCAAGCGCCCTACCTGCTGTAATACTGCTCTGGCCCGCATCACGCGTTTTTCGAAACTCCAGTCTAGCTAGAACCAGGGCTGCCGATTTCAAAGGTATAAACGACTCCGTCAGCATCATTATGCTACAACAGGGCTCCTTTCCCCGGCCTCGGGCCCCTGCCCGCCTGGCCCCACCGTGTCCTAGCAACCTGAGCACCTGCCCCAGCGGCCACGGACCGACGCAGCGCCTGACATTTACCGATCACCGCACAGCTGGTCCAGGCAGCAGAGGCTCCGGAAGCAATTGCAACTCATTATCTGTCCAGAGTGTTTCCTTATTGCCTCTGAATCTGGAGGTGACAGGAATCAGATATCGGTGGCATTTGGTCTATTAAAAATTTTCAAACTTGGCACTTGTTTGATACATTCCTAGGTATAGATTCAATATTTGTTACCCACATTTAAAAAATATTAAGGGGACCTGAGAGATAGTGCAAGGGTTAAGGCACTTGTATCTGCGACTGACTGGAGTTCAATTCTCAACATATGGTTTCCCTAAGCACCTCCAGGAGTGACTCCTGAGCACAGAGCCAGGAGTAAGCCCTGAGCACGGCCAGGTGTAGACCCAAACCCCAAATCTAAATAAAATAATACTTAAACGTGTTTTTGAATCTCAAGAGGAGAGTGCTCAGGGTCGAGTGACTGGTCAGACTTTTCCCCTGAGAAGGCCCCAGGGGCCGTTCATGTGAGCAACCAGGACTTGCCAGCACTTTCCCTTTCCTGGGACTTGGCAGAATAAGCTGAAAGACATATTGGCAACGATGTGATATGGCAGAAAAACCTAGGATCTGAGGTCAAACCCACTTGGATTCAAATGCCGAATTTCCAGTAAATTGACTAATCCCTTTGAGACTCACTTCCCTCCTGGGTGAAAGGGGATAGGAATGACTCCATCCCTGGGGGTGACACTTCAATGAGATGAAGAGAGGCAAAGGGACTGGCCCTGGGAATAGGCACAAATGGTGGCACATTCTGTTTTGCCTCCTGTTCTGAGAAGGTCAAACCCTGAACACAACAGCAGCCTGGCAACGTAAAGTGGCCAGAGCTCTCATCCAGCTTCCTTGCCACTGTTTCCATCAGCAATGAGTGGCACTGGCACTGATTCTAGGAACCCCCTGAAGGATTCGGAGAGAGATTTGGAGAAGAAACCCAGGCTTTTAGGAACAGCCATGGAAATTTGGGGCTGAAAACTCAGGGCAGGGTTCCCCGAGTGTTTGCAGAAGACATGTCCAAATTCAACTGGCAACAGCTGAATTGTTCCACCCAGTACTGAGCTGCCCATTCTGGTCTCCTTGTGAGGGTGCCGGGACTTCTCCAGGGTGATGGAAATAATAAAAGGTCCCTCTTCCCAACCAGGGAACTCATCTTATAAATGAGTCACGACCTTCTTCCATCCTATCCTCCCAAGGAATGCCTGGCACAGTGATCAGATTCGCTCCTCTGTCACCACCTGGACAGAGATTAGAGGGGTTTGTTTTTATTTTGGTTTGATTTTGTACTTGTTGGTTCGGGGGCCACACTTGGTGGTGCTACTCCTTTGTGCTTAGAGATCACTCCTGGGGGTATTTAAGGACCGTGTGGAGATTAAACCTGGGGCTCCTATATGCAAAGCATACACTCCACCCATTGAACTATCTCTCCAGCCCTAGATGTTCTCATTTTTTCTTTTTTTTGATTGATTGGCTTTTTGGGTCACACCTGGTGATGCTCAGGGGTTACTCCTGACTCTGCACTCAGGAATTACTCCTGGCAGTGCACGAGAGACCAATATGAATGCCAGGCATCAAACCTGGGTTGGATGCATATAAGGAAAATGCCATACCCACTGTACTATCACTCCAGCCCCCAAGATTTTCTTGTAAACCATCATTTATTACCTAAAGTGATATATTAAGGATTGGGAATGGGGTGGAGTAAATGTCACCAGAGCCAGGAGTAAGCCTTGAACACTGTTGGGTGTGGTACCAAACACCCCTACCAAAAGTAAGAAATGAAACACTTTATTTGGGGACAGGGACACACCCTGCAGTTCTCAGGGGTTACTCCTGGCTCTGCACTCAGGAATTACTCCTGGTGGTGCTTGAGGAGGCTTATGGGATGCCGGTTTCAAACCTGGGTCAGCGGTGTGTGAGGCAAATGCCCTACCTAGCACCAGCCCCAGAAATGAAAACACTTTGAAGCCGAAGAAAGTGTCTAGAGCCAGAATCACTTGCCTGAGGGTTGACACTTACTTCTGTGCTGTTTCCTGATTCCTCTTCTCTTTCCTACCTGCTCCATCTCATCACTGTCAGGTACACCACAGCCCTGGAGGACACAGTGGACACTGGCAGACTGTTCCGGAGCCGCTCCCTGCGAGAGCTCGAGGAGAACCTCTTTTGCCACACTAAGAGTTTCCCCATCAGCTGGGACACCTACTGGGACCACAACGATCCCCTCCGGGATGTGGATGAGGCAGCCGTGCCTGTACTGTGTGTCTGCAGTGCTGACGATCCTGTGTGCGGGCCCCCCGAGCACTTTCTACCCACTGAACTCTTTCACAGCAACCCCTACTTCTTCCTCTTGCTCAGTCGCCATGGAGGCCACTGTGGCTTCCTGAGGCAGGAGCCCTTGTCAGCCTGGAGCCACGAGGTCATCTTGGAGTCGTTCCGGGCCTTAACTGAGTTCTTCCGAACCGAAGAGAGGATGAAGGGGCTTAGCAGGCGCCGAACTTCATTCCTCGGGGGCCGGCGTCGCTGGGGAGCCCTGCAGAAGAGGGAGGTTTCGCCCTCTTCCAGCCAAGAGGAGACGTTTAGTTGGAAGCGATCGTACACAAGATGAGACCCGGCCCAGACAACCGCCTCCCTTTCGGTCCTGCAAGGAGGTGGGGAAGCAGGCAGGTCCTGAAAAGATTGGACAGGTGGAATGGGCAAGCAGCTGACTGACCACTGAATCTACCCCTTCTCTGCAATTGTTCTGTGGAAAGAGCTGGAACTGGCAGCCGATGGGGGCACGCTTTACCCCGAGCAGAACTCATGCACGGTTTCACACAACGCACTGCTTGCTGTTCACCTGTCTGGCCCAGTGGCAGAGCACTGTCCATCTGTCTCCTGCTGCTGACCTCAGCAACCAAAGCACAGCACCACTGAAGGCTGTGAGCTCAGGAGAAAAGGCTCCCTCATGAGCAATAGTCACAGGGAAGAAGAGTGGATCCTCAGGCCATTCTCTCCCACAGCCGTCATCAGCTCTGACGCCGGTACTAAAGCTGGAGCCACTCAATGCAGTTGAAGGCAGGATGTTTGTGTCTCAGTCCCACTTCCCACATTTCTCTTTGTGGCTGTGGCACTCCCCTGGGCTCCTGGGCTGCCGGACTGTGTGGGCCGGGTGTGAGAGTGGGAAAGCGTGGGAAAGAGTGGGTATGAGGGTGAGGAGGCAGAGGGGGTGCCTACGGTCAGAATGGGAAGGAGGCTCCTTTCAGATGAGCTCAGCAGGTTGGGATGGACTTGACCTGGGGCTTCAATTGAGCATTTCCAGCCATACTGGAGAGATCCCAAGGCTGATTTAGGAGTAGGAAGTCTTCGCATATACAAGGTCTAAGGCTTCTGCCAGACCCTGGCTTCAGGAGTCCCAGATAGAGGCACCCTAGCAACGCCAATCATTCTAGGGGATTCCACAGAGATCCTTAGCCAGAGCTGTGGTTTTTCTAACATGTGTGCTTACTCTAAGTGAAAAGTTTAAGCTTTATGATTCAGAGAGATAGTACAGTGGTTAAGGTGTTTGCCTTGTGCGTAATTGTCCCATGTTCAGTGCCTGGCACTGCAGGAATCCTTCTATTGGAAGCATTTCTCTGTCACTATGACGATCCTCTCCTTTCCCAGAGACATCTGGGACCACTGGAAACAAAAGTTCCAAGAGGTTGGCTGGGAGCTGACTCAGTGCCCTATGAATGTTTCACATAATCATGCTTTTTCTGCTCAATTATTCAGAAAGGCCATCCATGGAGACTCAGAACAGTTTCTTCCTGAGTCTGGTTTCACAGTGACTGGGTATTTGGTTTTATGAGGAGGAGTGTTAAAGAGCAGAATAAAATAAATCAGTGCTCAGACCTATCCACACACCCTGATTTAGATCAAGCCACTGGATGGTACAATAGAACACCTGGTACTGTGTGTTACAAAGAGCATTACTCTATTTTTTTTTTTTTTGTAATTTGTCATTCAGAAAGGGGGCATTTGTTGGGTTTTTTGGTTGTTGCTATTTTTGTTTTTGAGTCACTCAAGCAATTCTTGGGTTACTCCTTGCTCTGAACTCAATAATCACTCCTGGTAGTGATCGGGAGACCATATGGGAGGGCAGGGATTGAACCCAGGTCTGTAGCATGCAAGGAAAACACCCTTCATATTGTGCTGTCTCTCTAGCCCCAAGAGGATACTTGTTTTGATAGGAAGCTCCATCCTCTCCTCACAAACAGCAAAGCAATTTTAAAGAAGAGAGATGTTTATCAAAAGCTAAGTCCCAAGGCTTGGTACAAAAAATTCCCCAGGGGAACTGGAGCAATAGCACAGTGGGTAGGGCATTCGCTTTGCATGCAGCTGACCTGGGTTCTATTCCCAGCATCCCATATGGTCCCCTGAGAACCGCCAGGAGAAATTCCTGAGTTCAGAGCTAGGAATAACCCCTGAGCATGGCTGCGTGTGACCCAAAAAGAAAAAAAAAATCCCCAGAAAGGGCCAGAATGTAATACAGTGGGAAGGGTGGAAGAGTACTTGCCTTGCACAAGGCCAAACAGGTTCAGTCCCTTTACCCTGTATGGACTCCCAGAGCCACTCCAGGAATGACCCCTGAGCCTAGAGGTAGGAGTAATCCCTGAACACTGCCAGGTGTGGCCCAAAGGAAAACAAACAGACAAAACATTTCTGGGAAATCCAAGAGATAGTACAGGGGTTTAAGCACTTGTCTTACAGGCAGCCAAGATGGATTCAAGTCCCAGCATACCATATGTTCCCTAGAGCACTGTCAGGAATGATCCCTGAGCATTCCTGGGTATGATTCAAAAACAGAATCAAAAAAGAAAAAATAGTAAAAAAAAGTCCTGGTGCAGGGGCAGGGATGTAGCTCAACTGTTGAGCAGATATCTGTCATGTGTGTACTGGGTTTGATCCTTGGCACCATGAACAAATAAAGGACTGGAGAGATAGTACAGATAGTACATGCTTTCCATGTGGCCAACCCTCCTCACCCCCCAGCATCACATATGGTTCCCGAGCCTGCCAGAAGTGATCCCTGGGAGCAGAACCAGAAATAAGCCCTGAGCACCACCTTTTGACCCCCAAACAAAAAATAATTCTAAAATCTTCAAGGATCATGACTTCAGATTTGAGCACTAACACTTCAGCCAGGTCTGCTAAATAAAAAAGAAGAAACTCTGTGGGAAAAAGACAGAGAAGGAAAGAAATAGAGAAGATAGGAGGGAAGCAAAGGGGCCAAAAGTCAAGGGAATCTGAGTATATTGGTGTTGAGGAGTGGGAGAGCTAAATATTCCAACCACAGAGTCAACAACAGTGAAAACAAGAGACACAAACTTCAATGACCAAACTTAAAAATGTGCCTGTCAAATTGATAGACTGGGAGAGGGGGTGGGAGGAAACCCAGGGACCCCAGTGGAGGGAAGAAGACCTGAAGAAATAGAAGAAGATGTGGGGCTGGAGAGATACTATAGGAGGTAGGACATTTGCCTTGCATGCAGTCAAACCGGGTTTGATCCCTGGTACCCCCTATAGTCCCCCCACCCGAACCCTTCCAGGAGTGATCCCTGAGCACAGAACCAGGAGTAAGCCCTGAACATCACTGGGTATGGTCGTGAAGGAGAGGGAGACAGAAGGAAAATTTGGAACTAAGACATCTAACTGGCATGCAGATAAATAGTCTACTCTAGAACATATGTCACGAACATGACATCTCCTTTCTCACGCATGTGTGGGAAGTGCTCTACTGCTAAGCCACCCCTTGCCCTTTTTCATTACTTTTTCGAGGAGGTGCCACACGGTGTCTAGGCCTTACTTTTGGATCTGCACTCCTGGTAGACTCAGGGGACCATATGAGGTGCCAGGGATGGAACCTGGGTCGATTGTCTGCAAAACAAATGTCCTACCCCTATACTATCTCTCCAACCCACTTTCATTGCTCCTCTTTCTTCTCTTTCTTTCTTTCTTCCTTCCTTCTTTCTTTCTTTCTTTCTTTCTTTCTTTCTTTCTTTCTTTCTTTCTTTCTTTCTCTTTCTTTCTTTCTTTCTTTCTTTCTTTCTTTCTTTCTTTCTTCTTCCTCTCTCTCTTTCTTTCTCTTGCTCCATTTATGAAAATTGAAAAAAAGGAACTAAAATCTAAGTGAAGATTCTGCTGCTTAGGGCCTGGATTTGTAGTACAGAGTATAGGGCACTTGCTTTGCACACAACAGACCTGGATTCAATTCCCGGCATCCTGTATGGTCCCCCAAGCACCACCAGGAGTAATTTCTGAGTTCAGAGCCAGGAGTAATCCCTGAGCATTGCCAAGTGTGGCCCCCCAAAACCAAAAACCCAAACAACACTTGAGGAAGACTGAGAAATATCTGGCCACCCTATCCTGCCAGCCAGCACCGGGTACAGTGGAGATTTGCTCATTAGGGTCCTATCATCCTGGAATGTGCCCTAAGAGCATCAGAATTTACAGCAAAATGGGAAATAACCTAATGTTTGTCATTCATTTGGGGGGTGGCTTTGGGTGGGTGGGCTACACCTGATGGTGCTCAGAGGTCACTCAGGTTTGACTGACTCATTCTTCAGTCTAATGGAAAAGGAATTAAACCAAACTGACTATACTTTGGTCAGCTAATTATCTGAAACCTGTTGGAGGAATCCAGGCAGAAGATTCTGAGAGAATACCAGGCTCTTAAAGTCAATGATATAAGCTTGAGGAAGTAAGAAATAAAACAGACCCCCACGGAAGTCCCTCTGCCAGATGGATCTTTAGAGAGCCTTTCAGGCCGCACTGACTCACTCGCTTCCCTTTCGGTCTCTGTCATTAACAACATCACCAAATGGTAAAGAAAAAAAGGAAACTAGCCCAGGAGTCATTATTTTATAAGTAGAGATGGGATGCTCTGTCTCCAGCCACTGAATCGGAAAACAGGAAGGAGACTGCAGCCTCAACAATTTTTAGATCTAATTTTGACTTTCCAGAAGACTGTGCTAAACTATAATGGAGCTCTGACTTCCAGTATGTTCTGTGTTCACACATAGCTTTCCCTGGATATCTTGGATGGAGGCAACAACGAAAAACAAAGCACCGAATCATTATCTGTTTGGAGTGAAGATGACATTTCTGAAACAGGAGTGCTGTTAGAGAAGGGTTCCTGACGCAGGAAGTGTCACTGCGGCTTTAACCTCAAAACCAGCCTAGAGTCAGGTGCTCCCCTGTACTCAGCTCCATCAGGGCCAGGCCAAGGTATCGTCCTTTGAAACGAATGTCAGGGGCTAGAGAGACAGTATGAGGCTAAGGTGCTTGTCTTACATGCGGCCCAACCCCATTCAATTCCTTGCATTACACTAGAGCCCCACTAGATGTGATTCAAAACTCACTCACCCCAATAAAATAAAAAAAAAAAGAATGAACTTTAGCATGAATTTCTGTTTTTTGCCTCAGTAAGCAAATACGCTTAGTCACATCAGTGTAAGTTGGTAATGTCAATAGAAATATTTGTGTGGCCAGAGTATGATGTGTAGGGTGTCTGCCTTGTACGTGGTCAACCTGAGTTTGAATCCCAGCACACACTGCTGGGTGTGAGCCAAAAAAAAAAATCCAACCAAACAAAAAGTATTTATAATTTCCCCCCCCTTTTTGTATCACACCTGGTCATGTTCAGGGTTCATTTCTGGCTCTGCACTCAGAGGTCACTCCTGGCAGTACTTGTTGGGGGACCATATGTGGTATGTCAGGGACTGAACCTGGTTTGGTCACATGCAAGACAGATATGTCACCTGCTGTACTATCTCTCCAATCCCACACTATTTCCTTTTTAGTATTATTTTGACTTTTAGGTCAAACAGGGCTCAGGGGTTACTTGCAGCTCTGCATTCAGGGATCACTCCTTTAGGGGGCACAAGAGACCAAGTGGGGTGGTAGGTGGGCTGCATGTAAGGCAAGTGCCACTGTACTATCACTCTGCCCACTGTTTCCTTTTCATTTTTTATTTTATTTATTTTTTTCTTTTTGGGTTACACCTGGCGATGCACAGGGGTTACTCCTGGCTCTGCATTCAGGAGTTACTCCTGGTGGTGCTCAGGGGACCATATGGGATGCTAGGAATTGAACCCAGGTCAGCCACGTGCAAGGCAAACGCCCTATCCGCTGTGCTATCTCTCCAGCCCCGCCACTGTTTCCTTTTTAAACCATTTTAAAAACAATTTGTGAGCTGCAGAGATAGAGAGTACAGGGATTGAGGTCTTGCCTTGAATGCAACCAAGCCTGATTTATTTCCCAGCACCACATATAGTTCCCTGAACTCCCACCAGGAATGATCCCTGAGCATAGAGACGAAAGTAAAAAGTTGGTTGTGGGGAAAAAAAAAACCAAACAAACCTAAATATATGTAATAATTATGCTCTAACTGCTACCATCTTGAAATGGGTTTTAAAACTGAGTGTGGGGCTTGCAAAAACCTTTAAAATTGAAAAAAAGGGGGGAAGAGCAATAGTACAGAGGGGAAGGTGTTTGCCTTGAATGTGGCTGATCCGGGTTTGATGCCCAACATCCCATAAGGTCCCCTGAGCACCACCAGGAGTAAATACTGAGCCAGGAGCAGAGCCAGGAGTAACCCCTGGTGTGACCCGAAGTCAAAAAGAAAAAAAAAAGAGAATCTTTGTTATTATCAGTAAATGTTTGACTTGTAATTAGTTTATTTTAATTACTTATATGGCTCCTGTTGATTGCTTAAAAATTTATCAGGACAAGAGGGATTGTGGGGAAAAAAAAAGAGGGATTGTGAGTGAAAAGTTTAAGGAACCCTACTCTAGCCTACAGGGTTGAGGAAGAGCTAAATGTTTAAAGGCAAAGCAGAATTTCATTAAAACAAACAATAGGGGCCAGAGCAATAGTTCAGGTAAGGTGCTTGTCCTGCAACCCAGGCTTGATCTCTATCATTCCATTTGTTCCCCCACTGGAGGGGTGATTCTTTTTTTCTTTTTTTTTTTTTTGGCTTTTCGGGTCACACCTGGCGATGCACAGGGGTTACTCCGGTTCTGCACTCAGGAATCACCCCTGGCGGTGCTCAGGGGACCATATGGGATGCTGGGAATTGAACCCGGGTCGGCTGAATGCAAGGCAAATGCCCTACCAGCTGTGCTATTGCTCCAGCCCCTGGAGGGGTGATTCTTGAATGTAGAGTCAGTAATAACCTCTGAGCATTGCTGGATTGATTCCCCACACAACTAAATAAAATAAATAAAACAAACAAGAAAATGGCCAGAGTGATAATACAGTAAGATGTTTGCCTTGCGTGCGGAGGATCAGGGTTTGATCCCCGGCATTCCATATGGTCCCCCGAGCACAACCAGGAGTGATTGCTGAGTGTAAAGCCAGGAGTAAGCCCTGACCATGGCTGGATGTGGTCCCTTCCCCTCCCCAAAATATGAAAGATCCTGCGCGGCAAAGCCTGGCAAGCTCCCCATGATATATTCGATATGCCAAACACAGTAACAAGTGTCACAATGGAGACGTTACTGGGCGTGCTCAAGCAAATCGATGAACAATGGGAGGACAGTGACAGTGACAACATACCAAAATCAAATGTTTCTCTTCCTTTTGGCTTTTGATGTAAAAGGCACTATTTTTTTTTATCAGTAGTATGACTGAACAAAAATTGCTTTCCAACTTATTTATCTCTGCTTAATAAATGGCAGTCTCCCTGCAAGAAGAGAATGTCATTATTTTTTCAAATCTCCAGAAATAAATACGTGCTGTTTGTCTTCTGAAGCCTCTGTGTATTGATCTGTGCCCACCTGCCTGTAGCGTTGAAGAGTGATTTCCTGTACCTTCTCTATATAGTCACCGGATATTGCTTCACTTCTGTAAATCTAGCCGTGGGTCCCCTAACACTAACCAGTGGCAGATCTGTTTAATCAACAACCAGGCTGTGGCTTTGGGCTAATAATTTCCCAGAAGACTCACAATTCTCTGATCATCAATGATACTTAAAGAGAGATTTTCCAAAGGGCAATTAGTAATGGTGTTGGATAAAGTACTGGAGTAGTCATTTGAAAATATGGGTTCTAGCTTCTTCTTATTTACAATTTACATTGTGGGGAGGAGTTATTTCAACAGTTATTTCATATGAAAAGACTGAGAATGTGTATAGTTCTTAATTTTTTTTTGGGGGGGTGGTGGATTTTTGGTCACACTCAGTGGTTCTCAGAGTACTCCTGGCTCTGTGCTTAGGGACCACTTTTGGCTGGAATCAGGGGACCAGATGTGTTACTGGGGGGATCAAACCAGGGTCAGTTAACATACATGGCAAAACCTTAACCCACCCTATATTAACCTTCTACCCCAAAGACTATTTTTTGTTTTGGGGCCACATCTAGTGGTGCTTACACCTGGTGCTGCTCAGGGTGCTGGGGATCGAACCCAGGTCAGTCATGTACAAAGCATGCACCTGCTATATTATCTTTCATTTCTCTAATTCTAAGTGATGATGAATATTTTTTTCATAGCCTATTGGCCATCCATTACTTCTTTGGAGAAGTGTCTGTTCATCTCCTTCCTCCATTTTTGGATGGGGTTGTTAGATTTTTGTTGCTGTTGTTGTGATTTTTGCATGTTTTATAGGTGTTGGAAAAATGTAGCACTGTAGCACTGTCCTCCCATTGTTCAATTTGCTGCGATTTGCACTAGCTTACAACTATTGGAACTAGATGACCACAGTGGTAAATTTTTATTTATGTTCAAATTTTTGTAAAAGTCAGGTAGGATAGGTTTTAAACCCTAAGGATAACCCAATGTGTTTAGCCAATGAATAACATTTGTTTATAGTTGTTGACATGGGCTACAGACTAGAAGCACGTTTTAAAAAATTTTTTTGGGTCACACCCAGTGATGCTCAGGGGTTATTCCTGGTTCTGCACTCAGGAATTACTCCTGGCGGTGCTCAGAGGGACCATATGGGATGCCGGGGATCGAACCCAGGTCGGCCGCATGCAAGGCAAATGCCCTACTCTCTGTGCTATCTCTCCGAGCCCCCTAGAAGCACGTTTTAATACTCTCCTTCCACTATAGTTTGAAGAGCTCAACTGTGGGGGTAGAAAGTAAGCTTATTTTTTAAACTCTTTTTGAAAAGACTTTTTTTTTTTCTTTAGCGCCTACAAATTCTAGGTGGGATGTTGGAAATACTGGAGATATGAGACCTGGGATCTAATCTTGGACCTGCACAGTTGTTTGACCTAGGGAAATTAAACAGTACGTAAGGTAAAGGTAAAGGTAAAGGCCCTCCCGTTGATCGTCGATTTGCTCGAGCGGGCCCAGTAACGTCTCCATTGGAGACTTTGTTGTTACTGTGTCTGGCATATCGAATACTCTCGGTAGCTTGCCGGGCTGTTAAAACTCAAACTAGGGCTGGAGCAATAGCACAGCGGGTAGGGCGTTTGCCTTGCACACAGCTGACCCGGGTTTGATTCCCAGCATTCCATATGGTCCCCCGAGCACCGCCAGGAACAATTCCTGAGTGCATGAGCCAGGAGTAACCCCTGTGCATTGCCAGGTGTGACCCAAAAAGAAAAAAAAAACTCAAAATAGGGGCTGGAGAGATAGCACAGCGGTTAGGTGTTTGCCTTGCACGCAGCCGACCCGGGTTCGATTCCCAGCATCCCATGTGGTCCCCTGAGCACCGCCAGGAGTAACTCCTGAGTGCAGAGCCAAGAGTAACCCCTGTGCATCACCAGGTGTGACCCAAAAAGCAAAAAAAAACAAAAACAAAAACAAAACCCCAAAAACAAAAAAAAAACCCCTCAAAATAATACCAACATTCTAGGAATTTAAAAGATACGCTAAAAAGGCGAAGTCATGGGGCTGGAGCGACAGCACACAGGGTGGGGCATTTGCCTTCCACGCGGCTCACCTGGGTTTGATTCCCAGCATCCCATATGGTCCCCTGAGCACCACCAGGAGTCGTTCCTGAGTGCATGAGCCAGGAGTAATCCCTGTGCATTGTGACCCAAAAAGAAAAAAAAAAAGCGAAGTCATTTTCTGAGAATCTTCTATTCAGTAAAGTAGGAAACCTAAATTACTCTTAAGATGTTTCTAATTTAAAAACTAAGTCCCATATTTGGGACAAAACCCTTTATCCTAAATTAACTCATAACAACAACAAAAAGGTTACTTTAATAGTGTTGTTAAACAACAGGACTGGATGAGATGATCTGTCGCACATAGAGCTAAAATATGATTTTCAAATTTGGGGAGTAAGTCCAGATAAAACTACATTTTGAAACTTTGAACAAGCTCCAAGAAATCATACAATTATGTCTATTTATATGGGAGGGGCTGTAGTCATACACACTTCAACATAGGTTTGTTTTG